AGCCTCCCACGATAACTATGTCATCGACAGCCTCCTTGTGGATGTTGGCACCCTTAAGGGCCTTTTCTACCGGGATTAATGTGGCCTTAAACAAGTCTGAATTGAGCTCTTCGAATCGTGCCCTGCTTATTGTTGTATAGAAGTCTACGCCATTATACAGAGAATCTACCTCTATGTTGGCCTGTGCACTAGAACTGAGCGTCCTTTTGGCACGTTCACATGCCGTTCTGAGACGACGAACTGCTCTCTTATTAGATGTGATATCCTTGCCATACTTTTTTTGAAACTCCTTAATGAAATAGTCCACCATCCTATCGTCAAAGTCTTCACCGCCTAGCCTAGTATCTCCGGCAGTCGCATACACTTCAAATATGCCATTTTCTATAACAAGAACAGATACATCAAAGGTCCCCCCACCTAAATCAAAGACGAGGACAACGCGCTCATCTTTGATGTTTTTGTCGAGACCATATGCGATGGCGGCGGCAGTCGGCTCATTTATAATGCGCAGAACGTTAAGTCCAGCGATGATGCCGGCATCCTTGGTCGCCTGACGTTGGCTATCACTGAAATAAGCAGGCACTGTAATCACTGCCTCCGAGACAGTTACTCCTAAATAGGCTTCGGCCGTCTCTTTCATTTTTGTTAACACCATGGAGGATATCTCTTCGGGATAAAACAGTCGGGTTTCGTTCTTATATATAACCTGCACCTTAATCCGTCCATTATTATTGGTCAACATGAAGGGCATGTGCTTGGCATCCTCCTGAACACAAGGCTCCTCCCAGCGACGTCCAATGAAGCGTTTGGAATCGAAGACCGTGTTAGCTGGATTAGTAGCAGCCTGGTTTTTTGCTGCCTCGCCAACTAAACGTTCATTACTAGTGAAAGCAACACAACTAGGGGTTGTTCGGTTGCCCTGGTCATTGGCGATTACTTCAACTTTTCCATGCTCGAAAACAGCAACACAGGAATAGGTGGTGCCCAAGTCAATCCCAACGGCCGGGATTCTGGCCGTCATGTCGGAAGGCTGAATGCACCGATTAGCTGGCTGTGACCTGGAATAAGGTTGCGTTTAGACTATACTATGTAGATCCAGATGAGCGTGTTAAA